AGCAATTAATTTTTATAAGGCAAAATGCAATATCTGGATTTGTTTTAGTCCATCTGAACCAGAACCTCAAGGTTCTACATTACCGAGTGTCTGCAAACATCAGCAGAGAGTTGACCACAGCTTCTGCTGCTCATGTCTTCCCACAATTGAGAGGAACAGAGCACATAATGAAAAAGCTCACTACATGGGGTAGGACCAACTGCACACTAACAGAACTCTGTGTTGTTAGTTCTACTCCTGAAGTAGGTATGAAAATCGGAGAACAGCCGGGCTGAGCCTCGCCAGATTTGCTAATGGAAAATTAGCAAATCTGGCGAGATTTGCTAATCTCGCCAGATTTGACCGAGATTTGACCGGACCGAGACTTTACTGTTTAGAGGTGGGCTAGTGGAAAAGTGTCAAGTGAGTACAACCTTTCCATGCACCAAGTTCATCTAAATTCATTAAACTAAGAAAATGACTCGATTAGCATGTCTGATTACAGATGTATATCTTTAAGAAGGTTGTTTACATAATACATTTTAGTTGATGCTGGCAGATGTGTTCTAACCTGGCCAAAAACTTCCTCATTCACAGTGAAAGTGAGGTCCAAGATATCAGTGATGTCATTGTCTTTCATCCACTGGAGAGACTGGTGGAACTCCTCATCCAGGTACTCCAGATCAGACAGGTCTGTGGGCCTGCAAGACACATACAGCTCAATCTGACAGTCCACACTGCTGCAATGGGCTATCTGCATTACATATGTGTGTGGTCTTGGAAAAAAGGGAAGTTCAAATGAACATTTTCAGCTTTCCACAGCTTCTTTAATAAATACTTAAGCTCTAATAGATAGTTAAAAAACTGACATGTATCACTTTGTCAAATTCCAAATCTACCATGAGGAATTGCTACAACTCCAAAAATGGGAAGTTTTTCATATATATTTTATATTGGTACATGTTGAATCAAAATGACACATGGATGTTGTACTGACAGTCTGAGCAGAGCCTTGTAGAAGGGTCTGGTGAAGAAGGCATCCAGCAGGTACTGGTGGATCAGAGCCAGGCCCAGAATACGGCCACTGAAACGGAACCTGAACCAGACACATTAGATGAAATGAAAAAGTTTTTGTATCCAGATAATTGTAATTTGATGGTATAAAGAAGGGAAGTTACAAAGTAAAACACCAACATCACATCTGACTGGTCATGTATGTGTTGTATAGAGGACCGTCATTCAATGTTTACCTTCAAATGTTTTCACATTTTGTTGT